CAATGCATAGCAATAAAATAATCAAAAGCAAGTGCAAAAAATAAGGAAACCATTATACAAGCACATCAAATATTAACTTTAATATACTATAATTARCTTATTCCATTCCCTTAGAGAAATGGGAGCCTATATTCTCATTGGTACTGGATGAAACCTAAGGCTCAGTCTGGRAAGAGTGCAAATACAAACACATTCAGTGCAAAACCTTGTATACAGTATCTCTAAACCTTGTATTTGCACTGTACATGTTTGTATTTACACTTTTGCCAAGCTGAGCCTAAAACGCAATTCAATAAAAGCAGTAAACACAACCATTGGTGCATTGGGGATATAGATCCTTTCTTATGTTAATTACCATGTAGCCACCCTATTTGGCTTGAGCATTTCTTATAGGCAGCCTCTCTATTCTACCTTCAATTTGCAGAGTGCTTTATTATCTCACTGACAATATCCCATCCCTGCAAAGATGGTTGTGCAAATTATGAGCGCTGGGTTTAAATCCTTTGCAGAAGTTGTGGCACAAAAGTCGAAGAGTCAGCAACAATCAGAGAGGAATTTGACTCTAAATGGCTTGAGAAACATGCAAAACCCTGGGGTTTGCAAACTGGCTTTTAAACCTACTGGCTCGAGTTCAAACATGGCCCTATTAGCTCAGCGCAAGATAACTTAAACACTCATGTGATCTTGGCTGAGAATCAAAAGCCTTTAAAACAAAATCCAAGTCTATCATCTTCCTTGTTGAGATGAACGAGATCATCTACCTTTCATTGGATTCCATACCAAAACCAGAGTACCATTATCTTTGAAAAACAAAACCCAAGGAATTCATGATTAGGATGCCAAAAGTGATGAAGGCTGGGTAAGCTGTGATTATGACTCTGATGTCAACTCAGATGAGAGTTTAAGTATTGGAAGTGTGGATCTACATAGCAAGGATTTTCTAGATGGTGATGAAATGTTGGGAACGAAGGTCCTTTTTATTAGAGAGAGTGGGGACAAAGCAGTTGAAACTGTCAAGCTACGTGGTAAAGCTTCAACAACCAGCAAGGAAAACAGTAATGCATTTTGCAATGGAGATTGAGACAAGCAGGAGGAAGCAGATCAATTGAAACCTGATGTGGGAATCCCAATGCTAAATCGAGAACAAACACAGGATGTCTGCAAGAAAGTAGTATCTACTCGCCAGGAGTAGACTGCAGAGTGAAGTAAACTTAGTAGCAAAAAACAACTAGGTTCCTCTGATACAGTGTTATGCTTCTTTTGGGACCTCCCACCCAACAAGCTATATCTTAAAGTGGTCTACACCAAAGTTCTGATCAGGGATTTGATGAGTGCTTTAACATCTCTGTTCCGTTGTCTGCAAATATCCAAACCCCTCTACAGTCAGGTATGAATGTGATTTCATTTTTGGGTACTGATTGCCTTCTCTTTCCTGGTGCGATCCAGCATCCCAATCACTTGATGTCACTATTTGCCTAGGAAGGCCAAGTGTGAGTTTGGAAGGGGATGTAGAGAATAATGAGATTCAAAGGAATAACAAGGAGGGGGAGAGATTGTGGCAACTAATTTTGACACATTTTCAAGAACTGAAGAGTAAGGAAGTGGAGGCTATGGAGGAACAAGAGAGAACATTCATAGAAGGAATGGATCAGGCTGGTCAGGTTCTGCCCCAGGTTGGCAGAAAGGGGAATAATGAGAGTAACTAAGTAAAGCAGTCCAGGAGTTTGCAGCAAGCATTGGGGTTTAGGTAAACACACCCAAACAAGCAAATGTATATGTAAGTGGTGGGGAAGGTAAAAGAAAGAAAGAGGAAATTGAGCGAGGTGGAGAGATTGAAGCTAGATGTAGATGGGCACAAGGAATTCAGTGGGAGAGGAGAGAGAATAGGTAGTGAGTGAAGAAAGGTAGAAGGGAAGTAGGGCTTGTAATAAAAGTTGAAAATGAAAATAATAAGCTGGAATATTAGAGGTCTTGGCAGCACTAGGAAAAGGAAGTTAATTAGAGAATTCATCAAGAAACAAAATCAGGACATGACAATGGAAGGCTTTATCAAGCTTTTTTTCATCAGCAAGAAAAGAGTAATTTTATTAATAATTGAGAGAACTGAGAACAAGTTACAGAGTTAAAGGTAGAGCGCAAGATTGACAACCAATGCCCAAGAGAGAATTACAATAAAGCCTAAAGTAACTGCCGTCTATAGACCCCCTGCTTGGCTAATGAGACGGTCATCCCATTTGCAGTCCTTTTTATCAAGCTCAATTTTGATGGTAGTGGTAGGGGAAATCCAGGACCTTTAGGAATTGGAGGAATTTTTAGGGATGAGAGAGGCACTATTGTGGCACTTTTCTCAGCTCCTACTGGAGTAGGCGATTCCTTGAGAGAGGAGGTCATGGCTGTTATGGAAGGGGTACGAAGAGCAAAAATGATGAATATAAATAAGTTAATTATTGAGGGAGATAATAAATTGGTGGTGGAGTGGTTGAGGAGTGGGAAGGCAGCACTATTGCAGTATAGAAACAAGCTAAATAAGTTCCAGTGGAATACTAGAGAGATGGAAGTGAGATTTCAGTGGGTTCAAAGGGTAGCCAACAGCATGGTTTTGGCACAATTGTAAGGACAGTTGCAGGGAGAGATAAAGGCTTGCTATCTCTCCCATAAATACTCGTAATCTGTACCTTCTAATCTATATTAATAAAATGCTCAGTTATTGATCATAAAACAAAAATAACTTTCTTTGTCTCACTATAAAATTTTTTATAAGTTTCAACATTGTTCATGTCCCTTTTTTTATTGTTTTATTCATATCCCCATTTCAATTAAAACTTGCGACACATGAAGCATGAGAATTTTTCCCTTATCACATGCTCAGATATACCATTGATATTCACAAGAAGGTTTAGAGGGTATGCTTGATTATACTTATACATATATACACACATATAACAGGGGCCATTACTTGGTTCAATGGTAAATCTTTTTTTTTTTATCAATATGTTCAATGGTAAATCTTGGGCTGACAAGAATGAGAACATGGGTTTTGGTGGGGTTGAGGTAGGGGGTCGGGAGAAGTGTCTAGAGGAAAAGAGTTAGAGCAGGAAGGAGGACAAGGAGAGAGGGAGTAAGGTACAAGAAGAAATGGGCATAATCCAGAATGGATAAGTGGAAACAAGCAAGTTGGTAGAGAGAGAGGTGACAGTGGGGAAATCCCTGGGGCTTTTCTTCTGGGGAGGAGAATATATTGCGAGGAAAGCTTTTGAGCAGTTTGAGAAAGTTAGAAGGGAAGAGAAAAACAAAAGGGAGGAGCGAATTGAGAAGAGTAGAGGTTGGAACGAAGAAGAGGGAGAAGAGGTGCTGGGTGAGGAATCGTGAAGGGTCGAAGCCCAAATTTTGTAAAGGAACTAGGAAGAGGAGGTAAGGACAATGGTGAGGAGGTACCAAGGTAGCAGGAAAGGAAGGATAGGTTGGAGTGGTTTCTCTATTTTCTATGCTGGGTCTTTTGGAATGAAAGAAATAGAAGATGCTTCAAATAT